GCAGCTCCGGCTGAAGGCATGGAGCTACTCCCATAATAAACATCTGCATCTGAAGCTCTCAAGAGTTGTAGGAAAGTCCGTGGGAAAACGTCTCACTCCCTAGGGGGAAGAAGGGGCTAGGACAGGTCTCACCACTGCTGCAGATACCCCCAGGGTGCTGAGCAGGCACAGTCTGGCAGAGGGGTTGGTCAGGGTGCTGTTTGCCGTGCTGGCCTCCATGGCATTCTCCCGTGGCTGGGCCTGCAGCAGTCCCAAGTGCAGGTGACAGCCAAGTGCCACCTTTCCCAGGCCCTTGGTGCTGCCAGGCTAAGGCTGACCTTCAGTGTCCAGCCAGTCCCAAGCCTCCCAGCCCTACTGCCTGCAGCACTAGGTGAGTGGTGGTGCTGGAGGCAGCCCTGGCTCCATGCAGCATGGGGAGAGTCCCAGGCAGCAGCAATGCCTGCAGGAAAGCTGGAGAGGGACTTTTTAGCAGGACCTGTAATGATAGGATGAGGAGGAACCGTTTCAAACTGAAAGAGGGCAGATTGAATGAGATATTAGCAAGAAATTCTTTCCTGTGTGAATGGTGAGACACTGGCACAGGTTGCCCAGAGAAGTTGTGGCTAACCCATCCCTGGAAGTGTTCAAGGGCAGGTTGGATGGGGCTTGGAGCAACCTGGCAGGGGGTTGGAACTAGCTGATCTTTGTTGTCCCTTCCAACCCAAACCGTTCTATGAGTCTGATTTTAGGGATGTGGCCCCAGTGCCCACCAACTGAATGTGGCCATTGTGGCTGTGCCCGCGTGGCCCTCCTGCCTGCTCTGCCTGTGCCAGGACTATTCACATCTGTGGGCCCAGCTGCGGCAGAGCTGTGCCCCCAGGTGCTGCTTTCCCTGCCAGCCCCTTCTCCCTGGGGGAATCTCCTGGACCTTTTTATCCTGGCAAGGTGTTTGCAGCCCAGTGCCAGAGACTGGAGCCTTCCCAGCATGGCTGCAGGCCCAGAGACCTGCTTATTCTTCCTGCACCTCCCAAGCCCACCCTGGCCCATAGAGCGTCTTGTTCCTTCATCCTCTGTGTTGCATGCTACTGGGACTAGAGCAATGCCACAGGGTTGGGCCCAAAGGGAGCCAGCAGTGCATGGGTTTCCTCTGTCTCCCCCCACCAAGGCTTGGGACCAGGGGGTGCTGGGGAGCCAGGAAGTGTCCACAGCAGGGCAGGAGGGACAGTGAGTGACAGGGCTGAGGCCCTGGGGAAGGGGGACAGCACCTGGCATCCCAAAGCAGGGTGGCAGAAGAAGCCAGGCATGGTGGGAGTAGGGAGATGGTTCTGGCAGTCCTCAGCCTGAGCATTCCTGTGTCATGCTCTCCTGTGCTTCAGCTGAAAGATGGGGTTCCTGGATCAAGTGCCTTGCCCATTGTCAGAAAGTTTGAACTGGAGCTTAACAGGCAAAAGCAGGGCTGGCTCGGAGAGGTGGGATGAATTCCTAGCCTGCCATCCTTGAACAAGCCACATCACTTCCTCAGGGATCAGTGCTTCCCAGAGCAGGGAAAAAATAGTTTGGAAGAAAATTTTGAAAACCTTAAGTAGAAAAACTCAGGGTGTTTTTGGCCTAAAGTGATGGTTCTTATTTAGACATTTAATATTGATTAAAAAATTCACCTGATGATTCCAAAATGGAAGTGGTTGGAAATGATCCTCACAGGGACTGGAGCTGGGAACAAGTAACTGCTTGGATTTGCAGTGGAACAACAAGCTCCGTTTCCTCTGCAGAAAAAATAAAACACTGGTGACCTTTGAAGTCATCCTGTGCCTTCAGTCAAGCACTGAGGTCTGCTGGGAGAAGCTGAGACTGATGTTTCTCAGGGGTTGGTGGCAGGATGTCCTGCCAGTTTTGGCCAGGAGAGCATGTCCTGGGGCAGGGAGGTGAAATCCTGGCTCTTTTGGTGTGAACTGTCCTTCTGTGGTGACAGCACAGCAGTTGCAGAGCCAGCAGTAGTGTCACTGTCCGCCTGACCACAGGGCAGGGCTCCTCCAGCTCAGGCTGAGCCCTCTGCATGAGGCACAGGCTGTCCTGCAGGACACTGTCTTCTCTGCCCATCCCTGTCCTTGTCTCCTGGCCCCTCCCACTCTCAGAAGCCAGTTTTAGCAGTTTTTCTGGATAAGGTTTCGTATCTCCCCATGGTGCTGAGGGACACCTGAAAGGCAGAGGTGGGACATCAGCTGTGGTGTGAGATGTGTTTGCTTTGTAAAAGAAAGAAAGTCAGCAGGTCTGTGGAGGGCTGGGTGGTGTGGTTCATTTGCCAGAGGGATGGGATGCCACCACAGGGACCTTGGCAGGCTAGAGGAGTGGGCCCATATGAACCTTACGAAGTTCAACCAGGCCAAGTGCAAGGTCCTGCCCCTGGGTCAGGGCAATCCCCAGCACCAGCACAGACTGGGGGATGAGGGTGCTGAGAGCAGCCCTGCTGAGAAGGATCTGGGGATACAGATGGGTGACAACTGGACATGAGCCAGCAATGTGGGCTGGCAGCCCAGAAACCAACCATGTCCTGGGCTGCATCCCAGGCAGCGAGACCATCAGGTTGAAGGAGGGGATTCTTACCCTTTACTCAGCTCTTGTGAGACCCCACCTGGAGGACTGTGTCCAATTCTGGAGCCCCCATCACAAGAAGGGCATGGAGCTTCTGGAGCAAGTCCAGAGGAGGCCATGAAGATGATCAGAGGACTGGAGCAGCTCTGCTCTGGAAACAAGCTGAGAGAGTTGGAGTTGTTCAGCCTGGAGACCTTTCTGGAGCCTTTCAATACTTAAAGAGGCTTATGAGAAAGACAGAGCAAGACTTTTTACCAGGGCCTATAGTGACAAGGGACGAGGGTTTTAAACTGACAGAGGACAGGATTAGAAGAACTGTTTTATGATGAAGGTGATGAGACCATGGATCAGGTTGCCCAGAGATGCTGTGGCTGCCCCATCTCTGGAAGTGTTGAAGGTCAGGTTGGCTGGGGCTTGGAGCAACCTGATCTAGTGAAGGATGTCTCTGTCTGTGGGGTCTTTGAAGGTTCATTCCAACTCAAACCATTCTGTGATTCTAAAAGTGGTCTTTCCCTGCCTTCCTTAGGTCATGGTTCTGACCAGGCACTTGCTCTCCCATACCTTCTAGAACATTTAGGTGATTGGGATTTACAGGAGGTAATAATGGTGAAATGTCATGTCACCAAATAGCTCCTCCAGCCCCAGGGTGTCTAGGTCCTGTGGCCTGGAGCCGCTCTGAGACCTCATCCCTGCCTTAGTGCTGCCAGGCTGGGGCAAAGCCTGGGCTTTGGCAGCTCAGAGAGAAACTCAGTCCATGCCACATGGGCTGTGATTCCAGAAATGGGGATCAGAAGTATCATTATACATGATACACACATTATACATGATACACATGATATACACTCCAAAGAAGTGCAGTTTTTCTGGTGTTGCAGGTGTTGCTCAGGGCTGCTCATGTGGCTCCTCTGTGGGCAAGGTGGATGATGTGACTGTGGGCAGATGCTGCCGCCTGAGCCAGCTCGTCCAGCCACAGCCTTCGGGCATGCAGGTGGTGGCCATCTCAGCTGGATGTGGCACAGGCAGCCCCACAATGAGCAGCTGGTGGGGCCTGGGCAACCCAAGTGACCATCGTAAAGGGTGTGTGATGCCCTGTGCATGTGTGGACTGTCCCAGGAGCCCCTGGCAGCGCCACGCTGCAAACATAATGGTTTAAAAAAGAGAAGAGTTGCAAAAACATGTCACTGAGCACACCAGCCAGAGACATTATTCATGGAAAGAGCCTTCCCCTCCCCTGTTCTGGCCCTGGGTTGGTTTTTGCATCTGACACAGGACAGGCAGCTGGAGCTGGAGTCAGCTTTTGTCCTGCTGCCCTGCAGCGTCCAGGCATGCTGGCCGTGGGAACCCAGCGTGCTGGTGCTGCTGGGAAGTCCAGAGGGGGAAAAAAACAGCCATCCCAGATGTAATGTATTGTGGTGTCCATATTTGCAATTTCCTGTGTCAGGGTAGCCCTTAACTTGACTCGCAGCCTGTTTTTTTTGTCCCGTAATAAGCTCTTCCACTCAAAAAACACTGGGGAAGGTGCTGAAGGGGCTGGGGAAGTGGGGGGTTATGGCTGCCCTGCTCCCTGCTGGGAGTACAGGGAGGTGGTCCAAGCTGCACACCTGGCTGCAGGGGATCCTTGCTGATGGTGGTCCTCCACACACTGCTGGCTCTTCTCCTCCAGCCCAACTGGGGGTGAAGCCCTGACAGTGGGTGTCCCCGGCGGGCATCCTCCATCCCATGTGCCCAGTGACACCTGTCTCTGCAGTGGCAGAGCGGGGTGACTGGCGGGCATGACAACAGAGACAGGCCCTGGTTCGGAGGTGAAGAACGAGCAGGAGGAGGCTCCGCAGCAGCAGCTGGACGCGGCTACACAAGCCCCCAGGGCCGCCCGCCCCGCCGGCCGGGGCCCTGAGAGCAGTGAGAGGGCCGCCGCACAGAGTGCAGCAGGGGAAAGGATGTGCCACCTCGGCCTGCTGCCCATTGCCACATCCTACACAGAGGCTGTGAGGAGCCTGAGGGAAGTGGCACCTCCCTGCTTCTGTGGGCCACAGGGGAGCACCCAAAAACTGGGGCCGTGTCTGGACTAGCTGTCTAGCTGCCTCCCAGCTGCCAGCCTGGCTGTTCATGGGCAAGACAGGCAGAAGGAGCAGGATGGCAACCAGGAGTTCTGACTATATGTGGCCCCATATTCCTGCACTGAGCTGCCCCTGGCATGGCTGGAGCAGCATCTGCACCCCAACATCAGCCTCACCACTGTGCTGCTGCCAGCAGGTACAGTGCTGTCCTTGTCCTGCTTGCTGCCCCAGCCTTGCCTGCTGCCCTTGCCCTGCCTGCTGCCCCAGGCAGTTGGGCAGGGAGATTTTGGGTACCGAGCTGACCTTGGGCTCATGGACATGCACTTTCTATTGTATCCATCATGGAGTGGGGACCTATGGCTATGGACTCCCAAGAGGTCATCAGCCTTAGCCCCATCAGCTGCCCTCTTCTGCCTGCCACTGGAGGGCTTGCCCCATCTGTCCGCTCGTCCAGCCATTACTTGTGGTGCTGGGTAATGCTGTGCATCCCCCACTACAGGGTACAGAGATGGAGGAGAAGGACTACAGTGAGACAGATGGGATCTCTGACAAAACAACCCCCAGCAAGACCCAGAAGTCACCCCAGAAAACCACCAAGAAAGTGAAGAGTGCCCTTTGCAGAGTGACTCTGCTCGATGCCTCTGAGTACGAGTGCGAGGTGGTGGTAAGTCTAAGGGTGCTGCACTGACAACAAGGAGGGGACTCATCTCAGCATGAGGACACTACCCAGCCCATTGAGTTCCTGATAGCAGGGCTGTTCCAAGGACAGCTTTGTAGTACCTCACTCCTAGGGAAAAGAAGCCACAGAAATAGCAGTTTGAGTTGAAATTTCAAACTAAGGAAAAAATCTGGAAAGACAGACCCTGGCAGGGAATTTCAGCCCAGTAAATCCAAATTTGGCATAAAACAGATAAAAAGCAGAAGCTTAATAGCTGTGGGATAGAGTCTGCCTGACAATATGTGCATGACATCCCTGTGCCAGCCTGTCTGCCAACTCCTCAAGTGCGCAACATGTTGGCTGTCCCGCATGCAAAAGGGTTTGTGCATGTGTTGGGGGCTGAGGCTGACATCAAGGACCCACACAGCTTCCCCAGGCAGGTGTGCCTCTATCCTCTCTGTGTTCAGCTCATCCCTTGCTGTCCCTCCCCTTAAAGCCAGCAGGCCAGGGACTGCATGAGGAGGCGTGTCAGAGCCTGGCAGCACTACCTGTGTGTGTGAGTATGGAGGGGTTGTAGCTGCCTCCTTGTGTGTGTGGGCAGGGCAATGGCCTGGTAGGCACCCAGCACCCTGCTCTGGATGTCTGCTCTACTCCCTCTTGGTCACGTGGCTGTGCACAAGCACACACAGGTGTGTGCCAGGGAGCACATTTGCTGGTAGTGGCTGTCACCCCAGGGAGACACTGAGAGGGCTGGTGCCTGTCACTGGCTGCCATGGCACTAGGACATGCTGCAGGGCTGCTTTGGCCATGATGCTCCAACTGGTGGCCTACTCCTGGTGGGAGGGACATTTTAAAATTTTTAAGGACTTGCAACTTTGCTTAAAAATGCAAAAGCTGAGGATGTTGAGGAGCAGAAATCCTGGAGCCTTTGCCAGGGAGACCATTGGACTTGCTGCTGGTGAGCAGTCAAGTCAGGGTTTTGTTGGCAGCAGCTTGGAGCTGGCTGAGCAGAGCGGACCTGCATCTGTATCTGGGTCCTGCCACCTGGGCCCAGCTGTGCGGGAGTGATGAGTGACGGGAGTGTAGCTGCCTGTGCCTGGGGACGGCCTGTGTATGGAGGCTGCCTGTGCATGGGGGCTGCCTGTGTATGAGAGCTGCCTGTGCATGGAGGCTGCCTCTGCGTGGAGGCTGCCTGTGCATGGAGGCTGCCTGTGTATGAGAGCTGCCTGTGTATGGGGGCTGCCTGTGTATGAGAGCTGCCTGTGCATGGAGGCTGCCTCTGCGTGGAGGCTGCCTGTGCATGGAGGCTGCCTGTGTATGAGAGCTGCCTGTGTATGGGGGCTGCCTGTGTATGAGAGCTGCCTGTGCATGGAGGCTGCCTCTGCGTGGAGGCTGCCTGTGCATGGAGGCTGCCTGTGTATGAGAGCTGCCTGTGTATGGGGGCTGCCTGTGTATGAGAGCTGCCTGTGCATGGAGGCTGCCTCTGCGTGGAGGCTGCCTGTGCATGGAGGCTGCCTGTGTATGAGAGCTGCCTGTGTATGGGGGCTGCCTGTGTATGAGAGCTGCCTGTGCATGGAGGCTGCCTCTGCGTGGAGGCTGCCTGTGCATGGAGGCTGCCTGTGTATGAGAGCTGCCTGTGTATGGGGGCTGCCTGTGTATGAGAGCTGCCTGTGCATGGAGGCTGCCTCTGCGTGGAGGCTGCCTGTGCATGGAGGCTGCCTGTGTATGAGAGCTGCCTGTGTATGGGGGCTGCCTGTGTATGAGAGCTGCCTGTGCATGGAGGCTGCCTCTGCGTGGAGGCTGCCTGTGCATGGAGGCTGCCTGTGTATGAGAGCTGCCTGTGTATGGGGGCTGCCTGTGTATGAGAGCTGCCTGTGCATGGAGGCTGCCTCTGCGTGGAGGCTGCCTGTGCATGGAGGCTGCCTGTGTATGAGAGCTGCCTGTGTGTGGAGGCTGCCTGTGCGTGGGGGCTGCCTGCGTATGAGAGCTGCCTGCTATGAGTGAGCCCCCTGAGGCAGCCAGGAGGTGGGTCTGTCCCCTTGCCCACAGAGCAGGCGGCAGGGCCACAGTCCACTAGCCCTGACTGTCACTGCAGCAGTGAAATATTGTCATAAAGATGTGGAAAGATTGGTTCTCATGAAGATGAAAGCCTTTCTGAAGAAGCAAAGGAGCAGAGTACCCCAGGGGCCTGCAGGGGCTCATGGCACTTTGGTTGGCCTTTTCTCCCTGATGACTAGAGATGGGACAAGAGGAAATGGGGTCAAGTTGCACCACGGGAGGTTCAGATTGGATATTAGGAAAAATTTCTTCACACAAAGAGTGGTGTTGAGGCCTTGGAACAGGCTGCCCAGAGAGGTTGTGGAGGCACCATCCATGGAGATGTTAATAAAATAGGTGGATGTGGTGCTGAGGGAGATGCTTTAGTGGTTGGGGGTTGTAGGGTGAATGGTTGGACTTGATGATCTTGCAGGTCTTTTCCAAACTTGATGATTCTGTGATTCCCCTGCTCTCCCCAGCAGCAGTGGCCTGTCAGCGGGACCCCAGGGTGCAGCCTGGCTGGTGGCCTCGGGGGCAGAGCAATGTCCCTGGCTGTGCTGTGGCACAGAGGATCTGGTCGATTTTTAGAGAGCTGCTGCTTGCTCAAAAAGCCACTCAGGGCGTAGTGGAGAGGGGTTAGCATAGAAAGGCTGGAGTTGCATTTCTTTCTTTCCACGTGGGAATATCTGTGCCTTGCCTGCACGCTTCATTAAAGCTGAATTCAGTGGAAATCAAAACAGTGAGTCCAGCCATTCAGTGTAACACCCTGGCACGTGCCTTGGGTGAGCCCCTGCCTTCAAAACCCCTGTCAGCAGGAGGGGTGAGACCTGGGAAGGGTGATAGCAACTGCTGGAAAAGCTTTGCAGGGCATAAGGAGCTCAGGGCTGCAGCTGAGGGCGGCAAACCTCTGCTGGGGCTGTGCTTTCTGAGGCCTTGGGCTGCCAGCCCTGGGAGCCTGCTGAAGATGCTCCAGGAAATGCATACCTTGGCGAGGGGAGATGGGAGCTGCCAGGCTGAAAGGCTGTAAATTGGGGACAAACACACTTGAGAAGGGTTGTTATTCCATCTCCATGAGTGAGCCTTGGCCTCACTGCCACCAGAAATCAGTGAAACTCAAAGGAGCAGATAATGAGGTGCCCTCCATCCCTGTGCTTGGCTCAGGCTCTTTGTGTCTCTCGTTTGTTAGGTTGTGCTTCGGGACCAAGCCACCACTGCCACCAACATTGTTGGGAAGGAACTTGTCCCATGGGCAGCACCAGCTGCAGTGAGCTCTGGGGCGTATTTGTCTGAGCTTGCTGGTCTGGACCAGAGGTGCTTGGGCTGGCTGGACTCCTCTCTGATTTGGCATCACTGTTCCTTGGTGTGATAGGGGGTGAGCCAAGTGGGCACCGGGTGCCCCTGGCCTGTGAGACCTGCTGCCTGCATGACTTACCTCCTCCTCGACTCTCCCTGCAGTCCCAGGGCCACCTGGGTGTTCCCAGAGTGGAGCTGCTGGGTGAGAGGGCTGCTCTCAGAGCAACCACCTTTTGGTGGTTGTTTGGAGGGCCTGCCCTGTGACCCTCCCGAGTGTTCTCTGACTGCACCCAGCAGGTGCTGCCTGTGCCTGCTGGTTCTTTGGGAGCACAAGAGATCCAGCTCACTGTCAACCTCTCTGTGTCCCTGGCAGAAACATGCCCGAGGTCAGGTCCTCTTTGACATGGTGTGTGAGCACCTCAACCTCCTGGAGAAGGACTATTTCGGCCTCACCTTCTGTGACTCAGACAGCCAGAAGGTGAGCACGGGGGGGTCTGTCTGCAGCCACCTCCTCCATGGCATGGGGCCCCCCTCACCCACTATTTCATTATTGCAGAACTGGCTGGACCCCTCCAAGGAGATCAAGAAGCAGATCCGCAGTAAGTGCCCAAGGAGGTTCCATCCTTCCCAGCCCTGGGGTGTCCCACAGGGCTCTCAGATGGCTTGGCATGGCAGTCCCTCTAGTGGGTCCCCTTCCCACCCTCCCTGGCCTGGGAACAGGAATGCTGTTGCTCATTCAGCTGCCTGTTACCCATCTCTCCTCTAACTCATGACTGGTGTCAGGGGGCAAAGACCCCATCCATGCCATCAGAGAGCTGGCTGAGACCAGGTGCATCTCTTGGTGCTATCTCCACCTGCCCTGAGTAGGGAGGA